GGAAAGAGCCAGGCAAAAGGGAGCTGGAGAATTACTAGGCACTTTATCTGCAATGAATACTTAAGAAAAAACAGAGCCCTTAGGCAGTTATGGGGAAGACAATGGAAAATTTTAAAGTTTTGACTGTACAACTCAAACTCTCTTAGAGGTTACACTTATTCCAATTTAATGGATTTAGATTAGTTCAACTCTGTCCTTTTTATATCTATTAACAGCTACAAAAGAAATATCTGCTGTTAACTTAAGTCTTGTTCCCAAAAGGCCAGCTGGTGCTGGGTTTGGCAGCTTCTCCTGAGAAAGACTCAGTGAGTGTGGAGACAAAATAACAAGCTTGCTTTGAGACTGAGTGCTTCCAGAACATGACTGGAAGTACTAATTTAAAAATTAATTGTGGAGGTATCCAACTATTATCTATTAACAGAAGAACCTGTTGTCTTCCACATTTACACAGAATTCTTGACAGGATTATTTATTTTCTCGTGTTTATTTTGTTTTTCCGTAATTATGATTAACCCAGTAAATAATCTGTTATTATATTTTAGTGTGTCAGTAGACACTGTGACATTTTTAGCAGGGCTGGAAAGTGAGTCAGTCAACAGCATGGGATGGATATCAACACGGAGTCACCCACATTATTTTAAAAACAGAATGACCTAGGAAGAGCCTTTTACTTTGGAAAGGCTGTAAAGTTGTAATGACTAGGTATTTGATATTAGGTGTAGCCTTTGATTTTAGATTTTTAGAAGCAATTAATCAATATCCTAAATATTTTAAAAAAGTACCAGGAAGATTGGTTTGCTGTAACAGCAGAATAAAGTATTCTCCTATGAAGCAGATTGGTTTTCAGTAATAATTAATGCTTATGGGTCTATTAAAACCATGGACATTTTAATCTAAATTCTTTAGTTGTAAGAAGTTTAAATAATTACTGTGAGGACAAAGGAAAAATAAAGAAATATGGATTTTTTTTGAATTTATATTCAAAAAACATTCATAATCTAAACATTCATAGACAACCATCTTAATCTTGGTTTGTATTCTTTCAAGCATTTTTTCTTTTTCTTCTCTCTTTTTTTTTTCTTTTTGTTATACCATTCTAAACTTTAAAAACCAAAAATCAAAAACATACATTTTGTGACATACATTGTCCAGCGCCCCAACCACTACGCCACCTGCTGGCTCCAAGTAGTAAAACTTTTTATCCTCTAGATACTTGGCCTTTTTCTCTAACATAACAAAACAAAACAAAAATCTCTAAATATTTAAAAATACATTGTCATTTTTATTTGTCTTATTCTAAACTTGGAAGCAAAAGCACAGGTTTGGTAAATATATCTTAATGTCTTACCCATCATTGCCATGCTTTATTTCCTCTACCTTTGCTCTGTTTTTTAAGAGAACTGCTACATTTTCTGTTAATCTCTGAAATGTCTGGAAATATATTATCTCAATCTTCCACTTCGAAACATTTGTGACAGATCAAAATAAAACTACTTACAGAACCGAATGCTTAAAAGCTTCTCTGACTTTATTTCAACCTTAATGACAGTCTGCTTACTTTATCACCAGTTAGGTATTGAGAATTCAACTAGAAGAAATTGTCAGATGTTAAGAGAAACAGTAATTGCTAAAAAGGTAAAAACTTGTAGACTTCTGTATTTGGATAACTCAGGTTTCTGAAGTTCTCAAGTTCGCATTTTCTGAACATTTCTGAGACATTGAAGTCCCACTTTTCAATTTTTTTTTCGATCTGCTGCCCTATTCTTCAGGTATCAGATATTTATAGTTTTCATATTAAGTTCTAGTGACAAAAAAAACCCCCTGTGTATAAATACATGCATGTTCACTTAGAAGTCCAAAAATCCTGAAATCCTTTTTAAGAGTATACTCAGAGTTATATAATAGTGAAAAGTTACAAGTCAGTGTTGCTAGTGAATTATGACCAAGGTCATGGAAAACACATTGCTTTTTCTAGTGGTTGCATGATTATAAGGCCTCTGATGATAAATCTGTACCCACTGAAAATGTGGTTAACTTACCTTGGTGATTTTGATTTATTAGACTTGCAATGGACAAGGCTGTCCATTTGTTAGTGCTTGTTTTATATTTGAATAGCTTGGAAGCATATAAATTTGAGGCATAGCCTAAAGTTGGTTTAGCTATTTCATATTTCATTGAAAGCATCTGATCAGAGAACTTCAGCTTCTGATATTTATATTGTGACACTATGTAGTTTTCAATATAGTGAGGATACCTGATTTGCATTTTAGAGCATTTCTGTCCATGATCACTGTATAAGTTTCAAAGAACTGTCAGAACTGTGATAAAAACATGGAAATTATTAGTCAACAGTCACCTTCATTTGGAGAGTAAAAGTTAACTCATTTGAATAGAGGACACTGAAGAACTAGTGATTTATAAAGCATATTCTGTTTAGTTTGCCTTTGAATTTTTTTTTCAAATAGGCCTATGAATCTGAGGACTTTTATTAAAATTATACTTAATTTTAATTATACATAGAAATATTCTATCATGGGTCTGAAATGGCAAAAAGATTTTTTTAAAATTTTTTTATTGCCAGAGTGTAGGTGTACTCACTAGAGGGAGAAAAAGAGAGGGAGAGGGAGAGAGAGAGGGAGGGAGAGAGAGAGAGAGAGAGAGAGAGAGTACAAGAGCAAGAGAGAATCTTCTAGCAGTGCGTGATCACATTGCAATACTTTTTCCTCCATTTCTCCTTCCTGTCAGAATTTTGGACATGGCTAGTGTGTTTTTCAAGCCACCTGGGCTGGGATGCGAACTATGGCTATATAGGTTCCAGCTCCCAAGACTTAATCATTACACTACAAGGCTCGCCCTTAAAAGAAGATTTTTAAATAAAAGGCTGTGACTTGAATGAGAGCTTAATGAACGGGCCTCGAGTACCAACACAGAATAAAATTCATGTTTAAATTGGCCATCAAAGCAGTTGGGTATCATCCTGAGTTTCCTTCTTCATTACTGTAAGCTGGGAACTGGCACTTTCATGGGACCTTTGGGGTGTTAGTTCTTGTAGCTGGGTTCCTCTTCTGCCACAGTATTGTCATGTTGGGTTGGATAATTATTTGTTGTAATGGGCTGTCCTGTATTTGTAGGGTGTTTAGCATCAATTGTGGCGTCTATTCTCTATACAACAGTAGGACTACCTCTGGATGTGGCAGTCAAAAATGTCTCTAGGTATTTCCACATGTCTCCTGGGCGACAGTCACCCTTGAGTGAGGATCACTTTCTCTAATGATGATGCAGGAAAGATAAGAGTAACTAACAACAAGTATCTATCTCGAATACATCACAGTGTGTGAATTAAAATAAGGTACAAATCACAGTTGTTCATTTGTCCCTATGTGTCATTAATCTGAGCTAACTCTTACAGGTTTAGACCAGTCAGAGATGGCTGCAGTGTTATTTCCATTTTCCTGATCTGGCCCTGTGCGGCAGTTGACAGTTTTGCATTTGATGTTAGGTTTGAATGCAGCATGGAGAGGACCAGGCAGTGGCACAGCAATAATGCAACTGTACCCACATCTGAAAGGTTTTGGGTTTGTGTCCTAGGGGCTCCCTGAGCATGCTGGACACACGTGCATGTGTTCATGATCTAGGCTGGCTGAGACTGGAGGTGAGTTATGATGTGGGCAGTTCAGTTGGGGGTATCTGTCCTTCTATTTCTCTCATAGAAGAAGCAAATAAACAAAAGAGAACAAAAATACAACCTTGAGAATGATCAAGTTGTTTGGTGTAATTTAATACTTGGCATTTACAATTACTGCAGCTTTTTATCATCTGTGGGCAACTGTGGTTTTATACCGTTACATGATGTTAAATATTTTAAGAAATTATGGAAAATAAGGAATGCTCGTTTTCCAGTCAACTTTGATTGATTCTTAGGGGCCAGCAGATGGCAGTGTGGTTATGTTGTTGGACTCCCACATGGCCCAACTGTGGTTTGAGTCTTCCACCTGGGAGTTTGAAAATCATGCAAAGCGTGAGTGTGCATGTGTGTGTGTGTGTGTGTGTGTGTGTGTGTGTGTGTGTACTCAAGATCCCAAGAGGAGAATGGAAGAGAAGGGACTGTGGAGTGGCCCTGGGGAGTGATTTCTCACTTTCCCCTCTCACTGTCTCTGACCCTCTCTCTCTCCAGTGAGCACATGCACCCTATGGCAAAATTCTCAAACAAAACAAAGCAAAACAAAACAACAACAACAAAAAATCCAAACCAAACAAAACAAAACTTACATGATTAAAGGTAGAGTTTCTCTTTTATGGGCCATTTTACAGTTTTCCGTGATCAGATTTGGTGTTTATCACCAAGGAGCTTCATTTGTATTTGTATTCTGTCTGGAATAGAAGAGCTCATCTGATACAGGCAGCACGGCAGTAACAGCCAATTATTGTCTAGTACATCACAAGGAAATATTCTGATTCTGGAATTCTTGTGGTGCCCCGTGAAGACAGGCTTATGAGAGAAGCAAGAAGTAATCACAAGGTTGGCAGGATCGAGAAATCTATTGTAATTATTCATTGCTTATTTGGAATAGGTCTTAGAATTTTAAACAATGCAAATTTGGATAATTAGAGATTTTAAAAAATAGTAAAGGAAGAGTACAGAGTTTAAATAACTATCGAGCATCCAAGATAAGTATGATTTTGGGATAATGAATTTGTTTCTATTGGGTTTTCTGTGTTTTTCTATGCCAAAATGGGTAATGACTTTTCCAACAACCCAATAGTAGTTTTGTGGGAGGTTAAGGCAAATGTTAAGTAATTCATTATCTGTTTCTTTTAAAAAATTTTAAACAGAAACTGAAGAAAAAAGGTTTCAAAACTTTCTGCAAGGCATTTTTTTCATGCAATTTTCCCAGAGAAGTAAATTATGCATATATAGCTTTTTTGCTTAGAGATGTTAAGGTATATAGTTGACAATGTTTTCTTTTTTATAAGACATGAGAATGTTGTCAGCTCTAACGGTTCTGTGTCTTATAGGAAGCAAAGCAAATACCTTCGAATGAAAAATTTTAAGGTTATGCTTAACTATTATGATATATTAGTAAGTCTGTAGAAAACTGTTAAGACCTGTTGGCCAATGTCTGGTTTTAACCAGCCTTGCATCCTCCTTTACTTTCAGATATAAAATATATCTCCATGTAACTTTGTGAATTGATTTACTTCATTTGGGCTACTCAGAATTTCCTTTTAAAAGCTAAACGATTTTGTCAAGTTAAATACATTTACTGTTAATGATGGGCTGTTATGACTGCTGGCTACAGAGACCAACACTTCTTTGAGAGGCCTTTACAAAGAGAAAATAAAATCATGTTTTTTCAAAGAGTAGGATACTTTACTTTTGTTTTCTTTTAAAAAATCAACCCATTGTTAAATCATGTTTAAATACACATTTTTAGAAAGCTCTTGGACCCAGGCATACTTAATGACTTTAAAGACTGAATTTTAAAATTGAATATGGAATGAGAAAAAAATCTGAATTTTAACTGTATATGATTCATAGTCCAACGTGGTAATTTATAGGATCTTTGTCAGCATTATACAGTTTTACTCTTGATGATCTCTGTCTATGTAGGTCAAATGCTAATGAGAGACTCGACATAGTTCAAAGAAATTGTTCAGAGAAATTATTTTCAACTGTTCCAAAGTAAGATGGAACAGAGGTGACTAGTGATTTTGGAATAATCATTCTGGACATTTGGTTGGTATTTGTCATTTGTTATATATAAAAAAAGCTGTTGTGTACTTCTGAAAATTAACTAAAAATATCAAAGTGTAAAGATACCACCTTGTGTGACTTGAAGTAATTACCCTATAGACTTAATTAAGATAATTAGCTTGATAAAGGCTGGGTGGTTCTTTCAGAACAGACTGTGAAAACAATTCTGGTGGTAAGAGATCAATTTCTAGAGCTGCTTCAATATAGCATGACTAATTATATGTTTTCAAAGAGAGGACGTTACAGGCTTCCAACACGAGTTTTAATATGGAACTATCAACATAAATTATCATTTGGAGTAAAGTTACTCGACCAGTATCTGATGGAAATTCACACTTTGCTATTTCCTCTTAGAATGACATGGAACTTAAAAGCATAATGCTCTGTATATGGGAGGTTTGGGTAGTATGAAAAAGGTTTTATTCTGATGAATATTTAAGAACCTAGGACCTGGGCTACATTTGGTTTTCTGTATCTTAAGCTTATGAAGAATTTCCTATTTATTTTTAAAAACGTAAAGTAATTCAGAAGAATCTTTTCAACTACCTGCTAACATTCAGACAATTATATTATGAAGCCCTGGGTTCCAGTATGTTCCTAATGAATTGCAGATTTCCAGTTCTTGGGAGGTTTGTAAAGAATCTTTGGGGTTCTAAATGGATCAGAACATGTTTTGTACTTTATCATGTTGTGAGAAAAAAACAAGATATAGTCTGTGCTAAAGACTCTGGAATCATAATTTTGGCACCAGCTGGTCTCTGCTTTTCTAAGGAGAGAAGGGCATTATTGAAGAGTAACCAATGAAAGAGTTCTTTAAAGGAATTCTTTATTGGGAGATATATCAGTTTGTTCCAGTTCAATATAAAGATGATTAGATTCAAATAAAAATTCTAGTAATTTAAGGGAAAATGAAGTAGGAGGAAACAAAATCACTTCTCAAATAACTTTTATCCAACCCTCCTTATTTTAGGTTTCTATTTTCCTACCCAGTGTTAGTCCCTGTTCTAGAGAAACTGGCATTTCTGATTGCTGACAGTTTGGAGGAAACAGTTGTGTAAACCAGTCAGTTTTCCTACTGTCCACTTAAAGTTGAGCTTTTATGGGTCTAGTAATTGTTAATTGTCCACTTGTTTTCTAGCTTTCAAAATTGAGTCACCATTTTCTTCTCTCCTGTTCTTTCCATTTTTGTTGGTTCATGTCTTTAAAAAAACAAACATACAAGCAAAGATGATGCATTTATTCAATATGCTTTATTATCTGGGTATACCCTACTGAAAATATACCTTTTCTTTTTTTTATTTTTTCATCTCATTTTCTTTTATACATTCAATCACATTATTATTTGGCTTACAAAGTAGATATTTCAACAGGTGAACATTTCTCCCTAGTACAGTTGATAAAACTACAAAATATCTTCAATAGCTAATACCACATTTCTTTGTGCCATTAATGCCTTGCCTCCCTATTTTTCTTCTAAATGTCCTTCCTCAGACCCTCCTCTTTCACACACACTATATCTGGTATTTACATCTATATACTGTGTTTCTATATCTTTTAGTCAATAAGTTTCAGTCATAGAGTGTGAACACTCAGTATATATTAAGTGGGGACATACAATGCCTCTCTTTCATAGCCTGGCTTGCTTCATTCAGCAGTAAATCTTCCATATTCATCCACTTCCTGTCAAAAGCCAGGGTTTTTTTATGGCTGAATAGTATTCCATTGAGTATATGTGCCACAGTTTTTCTATCCATTCATCTGTTCATGGGCATTTGGGTTGTTTCCATGACTTAGCAATTGTGAATAGTGCCGCAGTAAACATTGACGTACAAGCACTTTTCCGATTAGGTATTCTTCTGTCCTTTGGGTAGATATTAAGGAGTGGGATTGCTGGATCATATGGTAGTTCTATTGTAGATTTTCGAGGGCTCTCCAAATTGTTCTCCACAGTGGCTGGACCAATTTACATTCCCACCAGCAGTGTAAGAGAGCTCCTCTTTCACCACACCCCTGCCAGCATTTATCAATTTTTTTTGTTTAATCTTAGTCATTCTGACTGGGGTTAGGTGGTATCTTATTGTTCTTTTTATTTGCATTTTTTAAAGATATAATCTCACCATGTTATGATCCTTTTGCCTGAGCCTCACAGCTGAATCAATGGGGTCAATTATAGCCATGGTTAAGTTTTCAATTTTTTACAACTGTTACAACAGGATAAAATGCCAGAGGCTTTAATCATGGCCAGAGAGGTCTGCAGTATCACCAGGGCGTAGGGGAGGGCAAAATTTATAATTACTCAGAGCAGAGGCTCAGCTTCAATTTATTTCAATCAAACTGGAGGCACAGAGTAAATAATTCCTCTTTTCATTTTATGCCTGAGATAAGGTCGAAGAAAATATACACTGCCAAATAAAAAAGGTAGTTATAATTACTTTTAACCTATTATATCAACAATACTGATATGTCAGGATTTTAATTTTCAAAGTTATTCCAAAATGTTTAGATGTTATGTAGCTAAATTTTAGGAAGATATTCTATAAATACCGTTTGAGGAATAGGATTTTTATTATCACTGGAAGTGTGTTTCTGTGTGATCAAGAAGGTACAATGGATGAGAAGAAAGGATGAGCTTTAAGTATGAAGCTTGTAGAAGCTTCTTTCCCCTCATATTCATTTTTTTTTTTTTGAGAGGTTTTTGCTATAGGGTGTGTGCACTAGCCAGAAAGAGACCGACTGAGAGACAGAAAGCGAGAAATCACCCCCCAGAAGGGGTGGCCATGCAGCAATCCCTTCTCCTCCACTCTCCTCTCAGGATCTTGGGCATGCATGCACACACACTTATCTTGAGTTCAAGCCACCTGGTCCAGGACTCAAACCATGGTCAGATACATGGGAATCCAGTGACATAGCCATTACGCCAACTGCTGGTCCCATCCCTTCATATTTTTATTTGGATCTTTGCAGTATGTGGTAAGATCATATATTTCTGGTGCCTACTCCTATTCTCTAATTAAAATTTTAAAAACATATAACTAATCTAAAAAGGTTGTCTGTAGGGTCACATTTGTATGGCAAAGTATTTGCCCTTTGTCATAGTGATGTGTAGTGTTTTAAGGGTGGCTCTGGGGAATTTGACTCCAAGTTAAAAGAAGCATTTGTATTTCTCAGTTCACCCAGAGGAGTAATAAACCATTCTTTGACTTCTGAAGTCTGTTTCAAAGTCAGATGCCTTCCTTTGAGAGTACTTTGCTGCTCACTTATAAAACTGAAGAAGGACATTTCCACCAAGGCTTTATTCTCCCAGTTAGGAATGGAAGCTGAGTAGGTGGCCACCAACAGGGATAATTTAGGGGACCCTCAGAAGACCCTTCCATCAAAACATATCTCCCTGAATGAAGCTGATGTATTTCTCTTTACTTTCTTGAGCCATCTTAAATTCTTCCTATTATAGATTCACTTAGATTGCAGCGTCCTCTTTTAAAAGAAAAATATCCTAGGGAGGATTAAGGAGTCCATTAATCAAACATTCACAGCCCAACATGGCTTAGTTTAATTAAATTGCTTTTCTCTAGTTATGGAAATTTTTATGGGAGTCAGGAAGAGAGAAGAGGGAAGTAATTTGGTCCCTTTATACCTTATACTATAAGATTTACCTTATACTGTAAGGGCACCAAACTAGGCTCACTTTTAACATAAAGGAGCAGCTTGAGGGCACCAAATACTTGGGATTGAGGAAGAGGCAACGTAGGAGCTAGAGAAAGAGTGAAGAAAAAAGTGGGAAAATGCCA